AGATGTTAATTACATGTTTGTCACCACGTTGCTCTTTTCTTGCTTGGCACTAGCTGAGCTTACATAGCTGGCAGGATAAATGTCATGTGTGCACCATCAGTAAAGCCAAGATTAGTCTTCACAGTCTGGTAAAACACTGATGACATTTGAGAGCCAAATCAAAGAAAATTCTTTAGACATTCACTTTCTTCACAGTGTCATTCTTCCTTGTAGCTCCAACATGAATATGGTGGGCTGAGCTGTGTGAGAAACTGGACATGCTGACATGCCGCTTTACGAAGAAGGCAATAAAACACAATTACTGCTCAACTTTGATTTAGAATTCTTATGGGAATTCATTTTTTAATTTGCGTTTTTACAGCACTCCATGGCATTTGAGGGAAATAGATTTAGCTTATTGTTTTAAGTCACTAAATCTTGCAGGCAATGCTAGATGTTGGCTGGCCAGTTAATAAATGGGAACACTTAATGTGCTTTTGTAAGGAAAGAGAAAAAATGAATCTTGGTTTTATATTCCATTCATTCTGGCCTGTGCATGTATTCTTAACTCTGTTCAGTCTTTGATAATAAAGTATAGGAAAAACACTTAGGTTCCAAATTGATTGGCTCTCAAAAAAAGTCAGTCATTTTAAATTACATACTGGTTAATGTAATTGGTAAACATATTATGAATGAGAGTTCTGAGTTTAACAAAACATACCCTGATGGAGATTTTAATTTAATATTGACCCATTGGATTTCATGTTTGTTTTTCATTGTCCTCATTTTTCATTTAAAAGCATATTAAGCATTAAAATTCCATGTAAGTTGCAGTAGGATCTACTCTAGAAAAGGGGAAAATATAGCACACACACACGCACACACACACACACACACACACACACACACAATATCTTCATGGAACATTTCATTTCACCTGAAGACATTTAGCTCGTCAACAACTAGTAGCTTTAGATAGCCTAAGACAAATTGGAGCCTTTATTTATTTGTCCATCAGATGCAGAGTTTCTCAATCTTCCTTTAACGTAGTTCCTCATGTTGTGGTGACCACAACAACAAAATGATTACATGGCTATATCATAACTGTAATTTGCTGCTGTTTTAAATCATAATGTAAATATGTGGTACACAGAATATCTGATATGTGACCCCTGTGAAAGGGTCATTTGACCCTCCAAATGGGTCACAATTCACAGGCTGAGAAGCACTGATCAGGTGCATAGCATTCTACATAGAAAGACTGTCCTACATATTAGATAATTATTACTGCTCAAGAGCTGACAAATCAAGATGGCAGCTAAACACTAAGATATCTTTCTTGTCATACAAGTTCAAATTGGCTGAGTATGTTGGGATGGTGAGACTGTCAGAAGTGCCATTGGAAGTGAGTGGGAAGCAAAAGTCTGAATCTAAACACACTATATTTGACTTTCCTCTGAGACTCCCAAAGATATGAATAAGGGGTTTGGAGACACTCAGGAAGAAGTTTTGGCTGAAAATACAGATACTGGAATTGTCCCCAAATAACTGCTTATCAAAACTCTACACTGAAAGAAATTAAGTAATCCTAAGTACACTGAGAAATGAATTTAAAAGAGATATAGTGAGCCACCGTGTGGTTGCTGGGAATTGAACTCAGGACCTTTGGAAGAGCAGGCAATGCTCTTAACCTCTGAGCCATCTCTCCAGCCCTTTTCTGTGATACATGTTGAGCAGAAAGAAATAGACTGAGCATGAGTGCTTGGTCCTCAGTCTACTGTTTGTAGCTCACTGGCTCACAAGACAAGAGTCAGTATCAAGAAAGCAGGACATATTTGATAAGATAAATATAATCTACACAGTTACATGCGAAGGGCTGGAAAATAAATAGTAAAGAGGACAGAGAATGAGCAAAGTCCCAGTCAGGTGCAGGTCTCTTCTTTTAGAGCGTGGTGCAGAGCCACTATCATGATTTAAGAAGTTAATTGTTCAATTTTGATTTTGAAAGATCAGTTTTGCAGAAATTGATTGCAAAAGAGTTAGCAAGATGTGAAGTGGAACCATCTGTTATAATCCAGATGGAAATGGAAGGTGCTGGAACTAGGAAAGTGGTAGTAACACGGAAAAATGGAAGACATATACTTTGATACTGAGGTGGTAGTAGTTATTAATGCTGGCAAAAGCCTCCTGGGGTCAGGCTTCTCTTTATTTCTGTGACATGGCACTTTTAAATCTCCCTGAGGACAATAACTCCAGCTCTGACTCCACATCAGCCAGTAACTCTATGCCTACTTCAGAGAAAGTAATTTCTGTGGGAACCCCTAAACTATGGAGTTGTGATCGCAGAACTTAGCATTTTATTTTATTCTTGGAGCAAAGAAAACAGAGAGACAAAGGAACACTTGTTTTGAGCCTGGACACATGAGAGACAGAACAATGGCGTGACTCACATTTCTTGACACACATCTTTGAATAGTCAAGAAAGCCAGTCAAAAGGAATTTAGATATATTGTTGAGATTTAAGAGACAAAAGAAAACTTCAGATTTGTGAGTCAATACACCTGTCACCCAAGTCATCCTAAAACAGCATATTGAATTGTGGCAGACTCAAAATGAAAAACTTAAATTATAAGCAAAAGAAGAAAGGATAAGAAAGCTAGCAGCAACATAAGACATATGGGAGAAAAATGGAGAAAGTCTGAAAACAGAAAAAGCAAATAATAAATCCTGCCACTGAAGAAAAAAAATATCTGCTGAACCTGAAAAAGAATACTTTCTAATACAGCAATTATTAGCAATAAAGATTATATGTTTGAGAGGTCATTTAGGCAAAAGCTGTTTGTGACTGATCATAAAGTAAGTAGAAATTGAAGAAGACCCTGTGTGAGTATGGGATTTCCCTGGGTTCACTTGTGTCAGGGAAGAGAAAGGTTGGAAGAGGAGCCACAAGGTGTTCTGTATGCATGAGTATGTGTAGCACAATTCTCAAGTTGACTGTATTTAATACAGATGAGAAATAAAATAAGGGGAAGAGATAATGAACAGAATAGCGTTTCTACATGTTTCCCAGAGTGTAAAAACTAAAGCCAGGGCACTGATGAAGGGGTCAGCCCTGGATGGGCTTCTAAGCCTGCTGTAACAAAATGTCACAACATACTGGGACATAAATGGCAGAAACCTGTTATTTAATCATTCTGGAAGCCGGGGGTCTAAAACCAAAATGTCAGCAGCAGTGTGTTCTCCTAGTCCAGTGGATGGACCACCACTTGCTCTTGCTTCTTAGCTTGTAGCTGACCAACTTCAACCAGAGTATTTGTGTTTTTTTTTCCCTTTATTATATCCAAACCATTTCTTTTTATAAGAATAACGATAATATTGGATTAGAAGATCCAATCCTAGATGTTGTAGTTCCTTTTCTATTGTTATGAAGAGATACCATGACCAAGGCAACTTATAAAATGTTACTGAAACTCACAGTTCCAAAGCGTTAGAGTCCATAATAACCATGGCAGAGAGCATGGCAGCAGGCAGGCGGGATACTAGAGCAGTAGCTGAGAGCTCACATCTGATCCACAGCAAGAGGCAGAGAGAAAGACCAAAATGGGCATGAAGTGGGCTTTTGAAACCTCCTACTGCTACTTCTCCTCCACCAAAGGCCACACCTCCTAATGCTTCCCAAATGGTTCCATCAACTTGTGATGAAGCAACCAAACACATGAGTCTATGGTAGTTATTCTCATTCAATCCTCCACACTAGCCTAACTAATTTGATCCCAAATGAGAACTTCCCTTAGTCAGATCACATTCTGTGGTTCTGAGCCTCAGCAAATCAGTGTGGATTTGTGGCAGTGACACAATTTAGTTCGTTAGATACAAAGTGGGCATGTCTTCCGTTGCAACAAGAGTGAAGGAATGTAATTGTGTGTATCTGTAGAACTGATAGCAATTTTATTTTCTGTGAGATGGAGACAGAGTAGTCAGCAGAGAAGTCAGACCTGGAAGTAAAGGTTTCTTAACGGGGATTTGAAAGACCGTTGCACAGAATGAGAAAATGCTGACATGGGGTGACAGACACTACCATACCAGCATATATGTAGATGATGAAATCAGTAATCCAGTATGCCCTTTACACAATCATGGAATGTCTTCTTGGGAGAATCTACCTGATTATTAATAGCTTACAACAAAATAAATGCCACTTTGACTAAGGAAAAGCTGTTCTCAGATTAACCAGGCATGCATACATTTGGAGTTGGAGTTAAATGGTAGTCTAGTTGCAATGATCCCTATTTTTATACCTGAAATACACATAACTAAAATTTATTCTCCTTAATGCTAAATCTCCATAGACTATCCTAAAGAGAGACACTGCCTTACAATGTCCTTGCATTCCTGGATGCTGAGAAGAATTTCAATCCTCAGTGAACATTCTTTGAATTGAAACTTCAGTATTGATTTCTCACAAAGCAAGCAAGTGTATCGTTTGGAAAGAAATTTTTCTCAGAAAGCTTTATCTAAAGCTTTACATTTTCCAGGACATAGAGATGTGATGTTTGTGGATAATTATATAATTACAGAACATAATCATTTATGATGACTTCTAGCAATATAGCAATCTTGAATCACTTGAAAAAATACAATTGATCTCAAGACACATTAAAAAAAAAAAAAGCTAGTTTAGCTGGGTGGTGGTGGTGCACACCTTTAATCCCAGCACTCAGCAAGCAGAGGTGGGCAGATTTCTGTGAGTTCAAGGCCAGCCTCGTCTATAAGAGCTAGTTTCAGGACAGGCTCCAAAGCTACAAAGAAACCCAATCTCAAAAAAACAAACAAAAAAAACACAGCAGAATTATATTGACAGCCGGTTGCAAGCAAATTTTTCTTTATTTGTGGAATTCATAACAGATACTCATTAGAAATAATATAATAATAGCAATCTTTTCATGTAAGACTGAACAGGATTAATAGGTAAATATACGAAATAAAGAAATATTATACCATTGTATTTTATCTTTTTTCAGAGTGATTGTGTACTTAGCTTTTTTCTCTCTGAACATATGCAACCAACAATTGAAGACTCTCAACTTCTGGGTCTAGGTAAGTGAATTCATCACAATTACCATATACAGTGATTGTGTATATGAGTGTGGGAAAGATTCACAAGTAATATCTTCAACTTCAAATGATAATGTCTTTTCAAGGCTAAAAGCTTCTTAATGTTTTCTCCCTAACCATTTCTAAGGAGTTTGAACCCCCCGAGAATATTCTCCTCAAGTAAAGATAAACACATATGTATTTTCCCATTTAAAATAGTGATATGATACCACACTGTTCCCCCATTTCAGTTAGTTGTGCTTTAAACTAAAATTGCACACCAGAGGCAAATTTTTTTATGTAACATGGGAGACTTACAATTTTACCTCTACTTCTCACAGCAAAATTTTTTTTAAAAAAGTATTAAGCCATAAAAATAAGCAAGGGTCTTTATGAACAAAACCTTACGTTGGTTCCACCATCTGGTTCTCTTCCACTGTGTCCTGGGTGAGTTCTGATGAACATTCCATCACTTCTGCCAGATTTCCAGAGATGCCTTTGAAAATTCTATCAGTTCAGGTATTTGTAACACATTCTACAACAAGAAGTGACAATCTCACAACATCCTAGCTTTTTTATAAAGATTAATTTATTAGTTTTATTTATGTATATGTTTGTTTGCCTGCATGTATGCAGGTACCACAAGTGTGTGAGGGCCAGAATGATGGAGGAAGGTCATTGGTTAATTATAATAAAGAAACTGCTTGGCCCTCATAGGTTAAAACATAGATGGAAGGAGTAAACAGAACAGAATGCTGGGAGGAAGAGGAAGTGAGCTCAGAGGCCATGCTCCCCTCTCCCGGGCAGACACGATGAAACAAGACGCCAGGTCAGACATGCTGAATTTTTCCCAGTAAGACCGGTGCTACATAGTTTATTAGAGATGGGTTGATCGGGATATCAGAATTAGCCAGTAAGGGCTAGAGTTAATGGGCCAAGCAGTGTTTAAATGAATACAGTTTGTATGTTGTTATTTCTGGTGTAAAGCTAGCATGCGGGAGCTGGGTGGGATGAAAAGCAGGCCCATAGCTCCCACTACACCAGTTGAAGTCAAAGGGCATCAGATACCCTGAAACTAAAGTTAAGGTGGCTGTAAGTCACTTGATGTGGATAATAGTAACTGAATCTGTGTTTCTGCAAGAATAATAAGCACTCTTAATCACTGAGTCACCTTCAGCCCTATACCTTCTCATTTTAATATCCATATTTATAAACCCATAATTTCCAGCCATGACCAATCCTCCTATCAACTCTGTCTTCATTTTATCCACATTCACTTTCTGATTCTCTTGCTTCAGATTCTTTGCATGTGCTTGTCAAGCCTGCTTATATCTGACATCTTAGATACTTGTCCGCTTAAGCATAAAACTTTCAGAACTATCTGTTATATGCATGATTATTTATCAAACTTTGTAACTGTGTTTGCATCTGACCAGCTTCTCTTGCTACACTAAAAATAACTTTAAGCCAAGGTTGCCCTTCCCTACCCTACATTGCTCTATACTTAGAATTCGTGGAATAATGTATGAGGGCTTCCAGAAAAAGAGCAGGAGAGACAGACAGAAAGTAGAAAGGGAAAATAAAACAATCAGTTTTAATGACCTGGGGAGATGTTACTACCATCAATAGTACAAACTTTAAGAGCCAAACTTGGAAAAAATGAAATACAAAGTTGTTGAGTTCTAGAAAGATTTTCCAATCGGACAACGTAGGTTTCTCCTCTATCACCAAATCTTTTAGGAAAATTTGCTTCCTTTTGTCTCAAGAGATTAAATCTCTTGTCAGCTTTTGGGTTTGACCATAATATTATTTCTGAAAGGTATTTATGAATATATATATGAACCCAAATTTAGGATGTTATTATAAATAATAAAGCAGCACTTTGAGAAAGTTTCCAATTTTAAATTTTCTCATGTCATCAACAATCAAGAATTGTTTCAATAGCTATGAATGACAGAAGATTTAATTCTTGCCATGTCTAAGTTATAGGCTGCCTATGAAAAATAGCCTATTGTCTTAAAACAATAGGACACATCTCCCAAGCAGGATATGCAAATCAGAATAATAAGCAAGAATTCGCAGGAAGCTGTGTCTTATTTTGCTCTTCAAATCATTTCCTCCTTCATCATTCTGGATTCTTAATCTTTTTTCACAGAATAGCTGCTGACTGTTAGCAAAAAGCCTGTTTGCTTAAGCATTATGCTCATTTGTGGGTTGAAATTTTAAGCTTATGCTGTCAAATGATTAGAGGGCAGAGTTACTCAAATGTGATTTACACAGATCAACTTTAACTGAAAATTTCAAACTTGGGCCACCTCTACTCAAGTGGTGATTTTGAATACCTAATTTCTCTAACTATATGCCTTAAAATTACAGAAGGATTATTGGGAATCCTGGATAATTTTGTCATCTTGACTCACAGGGTAAAGGGAGCTTTAGCTGAGGAATTCCCTCTATCAGACAGGTCTGTGGGCATGTCTGTATGACATTCTCTAATTGAAAAAAGAAGGCCCAGTCCATTGTGTGCATTGCCAGTGGGCCTGAACTATGTAAAAAACGTAGTCAGGTAAGCCACAAGTATCATGCCAGTGATCAGCATTTCTCCATGGTCTCTGCTTCATTTCTTTTTCTCCTTTTTTGAAATTGATTTTTATCGAGCTCTACATTTTTCTCTGCTCCCCTCCCTGCCTCTCCCCTCCCCTTCAACCCTCCCCCAAGTTCCTTATGCTCCCAATTTACTCAGGAGAACTTGTCTTTTTCTACTTCCCATGCAGATTAGATCTATGTATTTCTCTCTTAGAGTCCTCATTGTTGTCTAAGTTGTCTGGAACTGATTTCTAGGCTGGTTTTCTTTGATTTATGTTTAAAAAACACTTAAGAGTGAGTACATGTGATAATTGTCTTTCTGGGTCTGGGTTACCTCACTCAAAATGATGTTTTCTAGATCCATCCTTCTGCTTATAAATTTCAAGATGTCATTTTTTTTTCTGCTGTGTAGTACTCCATTGTGTAAATGTACCACATTTTCCCTATTCATTCTTTGGTCAAGGAGCATTCATGTTGTTTCCAGGTTCAGATCTTAACCTATAAGTCAATCAAGCTCTTTCCTACCTCAGTTGATTTTGCTTGTGGTATTTATCATAAAAACAAAAAAGAAGCATGTCACCCCTACTCTGGGAGATACTAATAGTCCCTGGACTTTATTGTCTGATGAAACATAATTTTGTGCAACAACTTAAGACTTTACCTTTTTTTTTCAAATGCCAGGCTACTTATATTTACTAAAAAAAAATCCTTGGCTCCTCATTTTCCTTCAAGACATTTATTCTAATGATGACTCTAGAGTACGTATTTATTTACAGATAAGAAATATGTGTCTCTATATCACACATCATTGCATTCCAAGATGTACAACCGAGTCTGTCTGACTATAAATGCTTCCCAAATAATTACTGAAAAAAAGACTGACAGTGACATCCACAGGAACTATCAAGGTAAATTATTATTTTTATGAAAGGAAAAGGAGAGAAGTTTGGGGTCATGTTGCTCTTTCCACAATCCTGACATCGTGAAAACGTTCCTGGCACATGACAGCTCCCAATCACTAGAATTTTTTTAAAGCACAACTCAGGAAAATGTCTTCTATAAATTATTATATTAAATGCAATTGACTTCATGATGCAATCTAAAATTCCTTATGGATTTTTATCTTAACTAGCTATATACTAACTCTCTGGTGATACAATTTTGGATGCTACAAAGATTAATATAGCTTGTATGTTTTTTCATTCCTACAATAACATGTCTTACATAGTCAATTTAAGAAGAGAAAAAGTTGCCAGGCAATGGTGGTGCACACCTTTAATCCCAACACTCAGGAGGTAGAATCAGGCAGACTCTGAGTTCAAGGTCAACCTTGTCTACGGAGTTTCAGATCAACCAGGACTACACAGAAAAACCCTGTCTCATATTTAAAAAGGAAGAGGAGGAGAAGGAGGATAAAGAAAGTTAGAAGAAAAAAGAGGATGAGAATGAGGAGGAAAAAACAATTTATTTGGGCTCATGGTTCCAGAGATTTTAGTTCACAGACATTTGGTCATGTTGTTTTGAGGGTCATGCTACGATCCTTTAATACAGTTCCTCATGTTGAGGTTGAAACGTTTTTGCATCCCGATAAATCTCTCAGCTGACGCAATAATCCAAATCAGACCAAGTCAAACCAAATTAGAAAAAGACCAGGTTTAGTGGATGCCAGCACTCCCGGGTAGCTTTCCAGGCCCTCACAGAGGAGATGGAGAAGGAAGACTGGGAAACCACATGTTTGTTCTCTGGGGGCAGTTGAAATACCCTGTGGGAGTGGTCTTGAGCCTCTATAGGGAGGGGTCATTGTTTGGCAGGCATTTTGGAGGTTCAGTCTAAACTGAAGCAACTCCCAGAGGACAGGGCTTGGAATGAAACTTTCCAATCAAACATTCCAGACTCTTTGGCTATAGGGGTGCTAGGGGCTGGGGTGACACTTCCAACCAAACAGTGGTGACCTCCAAACATAAAATTATTTCCGTTGCTACTTCATAACTGCAATTTTGCTACTGTTATGAATCATAGTGTAAATTTCTGTGTTTTCTGATGGTCCTAAGCAACCCCCGTGAAAGGGTCATCCTACCCAAAGGAGGCCACAATACACAGGTTGAGAGCCACTGTTTCCTTCCTACCTTCCCACACTGCCATGGGTTGGAAACCAAGCCTTCAAAACATAGACCTTTGAAGAAGACATCCAATACATAACAACTTCCACATTATATAATACTGTCACACAAAAAAAAATGAAATTACTCAATCATTAATTAAATTCATGCCCAGCACACAGTTCTCACATATGAAAGGCAGATATGTGGCAACATGTGGAAATAAAAAAAACAGGTAATTATCTTAGCAGGGTTTCTATTGTTGTAAACGGGCACCATATCCACAGAAACTCTTGTAAAGGAGAACATTTAATTGGG